TTTTGAGAAAGCACCTGATTGAGGAACTCTAACTGATGACTGAATTCCAGAAAATCTAGTTGGCCTCATATTATGCATTTGACTGGTATTCTGTCCCTGGTTGTTGGAAGTCCGTGGAGTAGAACCATTGCTGCCGTTCATTGATGGAGGTGGTGTCTCAACAGCCATAAAGGGCTTATGACAGTTGACGCAATAATGAAGACTGTGGTTGAGATAGTTCCTGTGGTACTCAAATTGCACTTTACATGAACTGCAGGTTGTCCAAAAAGAGTCATTTTTCACTGGACTAGAAGGAGCAGCAGGATATGGTTTGAGATTACATTACTTTTATATATAATTTTATATGTTATTCAATAATTAGTTTTTTTTCATTTAGTTAGAACTTATAATATTGTATGTATTAATTTATTTAATAATATATAAAAATTATATACAAAAATTATCTTGTGTCTATATTATTACTACTAAAAAATATGAGTAGTGATTCATGCAACAAAAATTTAAGACGAATTATTTGACATAAATTAAGTTATTAAATAAATTATTGTATATAATATTATAAATGTTAATAAAATAAAAAAATTAATTATTAAATAATATAAAAATTATTTTTAAATATAAGATTCATTGCTCCTAACGCCAAAATTTTAATTCCGTTTATTATTATTTATAAAGAGGAGGTTTAGGTGAGAGTGGCTTGATTCCAATTTACAAAATTTTAATGTCATCTAACAAAATGTTAGTTGAGTTTGTATTTTTTTTTTTTTGACAAAGGTAATGGTTAAGAAGTTAGTATGAGTCTTGGTTTCCCGCCCGGTATCCGGAGCTTTGTCCCGACTACTCCGGACTCGACCAGCTGTGGCGCACCAGAATGGTGGGTGGGTTTCCCAACAAAGGCTGCTGCGTACACAAGGTTTCGAACTTGAGATCTTATTTAAGCTGGAACAAGCCGCTTGCCACTTGATCCAACCCCTCGTTGGTAGAAGTTAGTATGAGTTAGTTGTTAATAACTGGTTCTTAGACTGAGTGAACATTCCACCCCTCAAATGAGATGCGCGGCCATCAAGTTGTTTTTTTGTGGAATTCACGATGATGGTGGAGCTCGAAGCTCCGACCACTTTACCTAAGCACTTAAGGTTTGGAGTCGAACCATTGAATCTAAAAATCCGATTAGTTGAGTTTGTATTTAAATATAAACTTTTATGGTTCCGAATCAAGTAAAGAATCTTTTTCTACTTTTGAATAATCTATTTCGAGTGGGCCCGAATCCAAATTTTATGGCATTGTTGAATTTTGGGTTGCTGCTTATTCAATATGTAGGGTCTTGGGAAATGATTTGCAGAGGTTATTTTTA